TCTCGCTAATGCACTTGATTTCTATTCAAAGATTCAATCCTTTGCTATATTTCACCTAGTATCACAGTCAATAAATATATGTTAATAATGGTGAAGTGTATTATATCCAGCACAAAGTTGTGTCGCCAAAGGGATCGAGATTACTTAGAAGGTGGAGGATATTTAAGAGAATCTACCTCCAGCACCTTCGTAAGTTCACCTAACTTCCAACGTGTGTCTCCCTCAGGTAAAGATGCAACTTCATCTCAGTCAAAAATTAGGCCAAAAAGCCTATCTTCGAACTACAATAAAACGTGTCTAACACCGGTTACTCTAGTTTAACATCTTCTATGAAAATATATCTCAGCCGAAACTGCATTTGTACTATGGTTTTGATAGCAGTATGAAAAACATTATGCATCCTCAGCTTAGACAGTTATATACGTAATATAAGCCTGAATATATGTTTTCCAAAATAAATTTTAATCCAAGGAATATGTTGTTGTGCTTTCAACTTTGGACTTTCATTTAACATTATTGTTGGCTGTTCAGATTACAGTGAAACAAACGAGGAGGAGGGTCACAGAACAAGTTCGTTACAGACCTGCAAACAGCCTCCAACTATCACCATATTTATTTGTATTGTATGACATAATTGGCAACAACACATGGCTTTACCTTCTGTACAATAAATATTGGTTCGATCGTATTGTATGTATTCGCAACAAGCAATGGCACATACAATGTAGACAACTATCAGAGCATATCATATTGCAGAAAGTTTTTGTGTAAGCTGAGCTTATCATAAATTACAAACATGAGAACTATCTTCTGAATACTAACACGCTGACAAAAACATGTCTGTATGTGTAATATGTCATGCACGTTATGATCTGTACTGGAGTGATTACTCATGAAAATATCTATGTTTTATTGTTAGAGATTTATATCACTGAGAGTGCAATCAAATACAATATGGTTGCATAATGACAAATGTATAGTAAATCAGAATGCAATGTAAGCTGCTAACAAGTCATTTAATATCAAAAGTGGATCTAAAAGCTGTGTTGCAGTAGACAAAAATAAAAAAATGAAACTTGAATATTTTTACGATCTCAATAAAAAGGAAAATAATAAAATCTGATGTACTTCCTGCGTCACTGGGCGAGAAAGTGTATTACGTCTTTTGGATGTCGTATGACATGTACATCAGGAAAAACCATGTCACCCATTTCCGTCGGTCTATCGGTCTGTCCGCGAATCTTTGGACCGCATATAGCTTGTAAAGTACTGCTTGGATTTGGACGAAATTTTTACACAAGGACGAAAAAGTTTTATAGTTTTTAGTTTGAAAATCGGTCCAGTGGCGGCGAATAAAATGTGGAAATAAAAAGAATTGTTGTTTTTTGATGTTTCGGAGAACCCTGATCATCTGACGATATGGGAAGGGGCAACGTTGCCAGATGGACGATGGCGACTGGTGGGGCAGGGAAGGAATGTCTATGGACTACCTGTATGAGCCTGTTTGACTGACTTCCGTTTAATTCCTCTATTGTGCATGTTCGCTACTCAATCCTTCATGAGCTGACGACGGCCTTGCGTAGGACCTGCAGAGTCAACCTACTTGATGCCATTTTTTTGTTTCATTGTTTGCTGTAACAGAAAATAGAAAACAACGAAAGCACCATATCGGCTATTGGTACGCAGACAAGAATATAATAGACGTGATATTTTGTTTACTTCTAGCTATTTAGTTTCCAGATTCTCAGATGTAAATGTAGGTGATTTTTTGAACCTGCTTTGTTGTGAAATGAAGTCGAGACAAATTCTTGTCGTAACAGTAACAGTCATGTTATACATTCAACGACAAAAACACGTACGTTCAAATTTTGAAACAGAAGGAAACGAACAATAAACTGTTTCGAGAGCAGCTGTCACATGTCAGTTTAAATAATCCACTTTACAAGAACGCCTCTTGTACCAAGGATCTTGGCTATGGGCTCCATTTCTCAGTGGCGTAGCGGATCAATAGGAAAAGGTCACAACTGAAATTCGGACAATTTATATCTGTGAAATGAGTTTTCGCGATACAAACGCATGCGTCAGTATTTTTGCTATTTCTTGAGTGTAATGATGTGTGATGTGTCTCAAAAGAGTTGTCGAAGTCAGTGACATGACCTGCTCACGGGAGCTCATTTTGGGATAGTCAAAAACATTCAAACGGCTGTAAGAGAACCAGCATTCATGGACCAAAGGAGCTCGTGCACATTCTATAGCTGACTTGCTTCCGCAGCCTGTTTTCTCATTAGTTTCTCTTCTGTTCTTTGAACATTGCGCATCATGACACGGAAAGGGAAAATATATTTTTCAGGTGATTTATGTTTTTTTTTGAGGCAGTTTTATCAAAATAAGACCTTATTGGGCTACCTTTTACTGAATCCGGTATGAACACTGAAAACATAGAAATGACTATATTAACTGAATATACTTCACTGGTAGTTCACCAGTAGGTAACCGTCGCATAGATTGATAAAGTCTGTTTTATTTTTTTTGTCATGTACTAACGTGCAATAACAGTCATTTGCGAATTTTAGGGCCGATTTCACCAACATTAATATTATGGAACAATAGGAAAATACCTTATCGAAATGCAATTTGACGGAAGCTGTCAAAGGTCTCAGAATATCAGTGATTTCTATTAAAATGTAGAATAAAATCGTGAAAATTTGACTGTATTATAAACAAGACCACTTTTTGATTCCAACATGATGCTTTTGTACAGAGAAAACAGGACAACTTTCATGTATTTTGATTTATGTTATAGGTGTAAATTTGACCATCCGTTATCCCCTCAGCGAATGGGAATGGGAGAAATAATAGGTCGATTTTCTAGCTGTTAAATTTGGCAGCAGGTTTGGTCGTTTGTTAATTCATGGCAATCTCGAAATTTGTTAAGTTCAATATACTGTGTGTATATGTGATCATTATAGCTACACATACCTGTTGAATTGTGCGGATTTGCAATAAAATAGAATATAAAATGTATTCCAACCAATTCCTCATCTCTCTTTACATCATAATAGTAATCATTTGTTATAAATTCATGGGTTAATGAATTTCTTCAAAGCAATCAAAACAGTATGGTCGTCCCCATCCTAAAAAACACCGGTATGTGTAAAACATGTTAATCGCTACATCTCCGAGGTGCATAATGCAATTATTGTAGACATAGATCTAAAATTATTAGTAATTACTGAATAGTAAGGAGCTAAAAAGAATTATAAATAGTGATAAAATATTGGTGGTTAAGGTTTTTGACTGGTGACTGGTGGGGATACAATATAGGGATGGCGACGATAGACGATACATTGATGTATCGAAAACATCGATACATCGGACGTAGAACATCGATCTTTACGCATCGATGGTTTCATGACGATATATCGATATCGAGAGGAATCATAAACATCCGTAACCGTATACCCCGAGTCTATCCTTAACTGTGCTACCATCTCTAAGCGAGGACTGGTAGCTTCGAAATTGAAAGGCCAGAAAGCTATTTAGGTGTTTAGTAGTATTTGAATATTATCATTACAGACGAGCACTGAGCCACTGAGTGGCCACTGAGCGCTGTAGTCTTTTCCTCATTTTGTACTTCCCCAAGGGATAGAATAAAATAGACTGAAAACAGCGCGTTTAATGATTTTCAGTTATCAGAGAAAGATTTTCCCCTGCCGGCCCTTGACATCGTTTCGAAATATGAAATTCTGGACACGCTATAAAAATAATAATGAATGCACAAAGCCTACTTACCTATTTCAGACAAAAACAACTGCCACATAACGATTGTCACCTTGACATCATTCTGCAATCTGTCAAAGTAGTGATGGGCATGCCTGCTGCACGGTATACGGTATCGATATTCAATAAAATATTTTTCTTTCTACAATGAATGCGTGGAAAAAACAAAATAAGGAGAGATCTAAAATAAGGAGTTATTGAACGCCTAAAATAGCCAGGCGCTAATAATTCCTGGCCGTATTTGGATATCTAAGCAGGCACAGTAAAACAAAAATAAGACTTGGAATTAATAAAGTTTATTTCGGCAGTTGGCAGAGTTTGCTCCACTGGGACGAAGTGCGGACGGATCCCACAGAATTATGTGTCACTTGTCGATATGGTTAGTTTTAAAATATCAGGAGATAATCAGCTGTTATTCAAATCAGTGTATATGTTTTGTGATTCAAATAACGTCTAATATAAATATAACCCAGAATATGTACTCATTGAAAAAAGAAAAATATTGCAAATTGCTAGTTTTTCTGCAGGTTTTAGGTTTGCTGGTAGCTCTACGACATATATTTGGGTATTTCTTAATCGCTGTGAATATAGTGTGGATGTTTGTTAGGTTCCTGAACAACGGAAAATATTCAACTTTATGGATGTATGGATATTAAAAAACCAGAATGGTTTTGTGGGAATATGGGAATATCAATCTAAGGTGCCATAATGGTTCTGATGAACGGCAAGTAAATGAATGAATGGTTGGAAACGAGCAATATCTATGAACTTTTTGGTAGAGCCAGTCATCAAGTAGATGCTTAATGGCTATCTGCAAGAGGCTTATAGGAAAAACACCCAGTAGATGACCTTGAATCAGTAAAATCGCATATCAATTGAAGAAAATAATATAAACATGAATAAAAAATCAACAATAGTAATTAAATCATGAATTTTATTCAAAAATCAAACATTTGTTTAAATTTTGACTGAATTATATATAATTTCTTAATATTCAATAAGTTGATGATGTTTCAATGACAAGATACCATCTCATACTTTGACAGTATTCTGTTTTCAACATTTTGATAGCTATTGGTTGATAAAATTTGTTGATTGGAACTTGAAGCTCATTCGCTGTATTTGACGGGCTGTTACCCTTTAGGTGGAGAATAACGGACTGTTGTTAGTGAAATTGGCCCTTAGATTTTCAAGTCATTAGATATCATTATTGTGTTTTGTCAAGTTCTGGCGCATTCTACGTCAAAACAATTTTTCTTACATATGCACCACCACATGATTCTTATAGTAGTATGTCCGTGAAGAACAAATACTTTCAGACTTGTATTACTCTTTCAAATTTCACGACTTTCCCACGGAAAAAATATTTTTTTGTCTATATCCCCACTTTCTCGCACGTCACTGCAAACACTTTTCTAAACAATTCGGAAACAATAATAGCCATTTATTTTAAGGAAATCCCATTAGGAGTGGAGCACATAAATCATTCAGGAAGGCGAAATTCGTTCTGATAGACGGCCAGGCCGAAGTGGAAAAAACGTGTGTGTGTGAAAACCGATATGCCCACCATATGGATTCTACAATGGTTATGTGAGTAGCTACCACGTTATAGAAAAAGCGTTCTTTGGAACAAAGGACACAGCACATATGTTTCACATTTATAAATACCAGATAGGGATCTGGCGCTGCCAATAAGCTAGTGGGTGTATGGACCTGTTGTTAACTATAGACAAAGGAAGTTTGAGTCAAATATACTTCGCGTCAATGGGTCAATATTGACCTTAAAAGAAACTTGAGCTATCGCTTTCTTAGCTTGAAAGTAAACATGAAAAATGCATGAATAAGCTCAGCGCAACAGAGAAATTACACGGATCGAGTCAGTCTAACAGTCTATGCACTACCGGTGATTGCTGTCCATCCGGCAAGGTTGTTCCTTCAGGCATCTGCGCGGTAGCATCAACCGTGATACCGCTGCAGTGAGTTGTCGTTTATCTTGTGTATGTTCTGTGCGTAGTAGTACGGATAGATTATTCAGCACGTGTGGCGTCACTCGGTGACAAGACTCCGCAGAGTGATTAGTTTTGTTAGTTATCTGGTATGTGAGTTAAACATTTAATTGTGGTGAGGTATGCAGTGGTGGGTTGCTTAAGCAACAACAACAAGAAAAGCAAAGACGCTTCGAATTGGCGCTTCTTCAGTTCTCCTAAAAACAAACAAATTTGCGAATAGTGGGTTCTGAAGTGTTACCAGCAACACAAATTTAATCATTTCTGGTCAAATGAAATGAATTTGACTATATTTTCGACAATCTTAACGCAGGATCATTAAGAATGACCAAAAACTATTTAAAATCGTTAATGGATTCAATCATGCCAGTTAGTGTGAATGCAGATACCTAACATCCTTGTTTAGATAATAATAATAATAATAAATGGCCTTTATTCGTCACACGATTACAAAATAATTGGTTTAAAAGGAACAGTGACGAAAAGGTGGAGTGTCAGCTTATGCTGTTTTTCAACCCGACCTGGAAAACATTGACACAAACTATAGAGAGAGAGAAAAAAAAACTTAGAATATAACACTTATCAGAGAAAGGAAACAATCAATTACCTGTGGATATGCATAAAGTAAAATTTTAGCCATCCGACGATACATGTAGTTTAAAATCCGGTTGTATAAATAGAGATATGAAAGAAAAATCCAGAAGAAGAGGATAAGCTAGATAAACTGTTTACAATACAGAATACTATTATTAACAACTACACATAAAAAGGAATGAAAAACCATTTATAAAATTATAATGTATCTCGGTCGCCATCTGCATAAAAGGTTGATATAGCAAGTTAATAAATATGTCGTCAGTGATGCACGAAGATTCTATTTGAGACCAATTTTCTTCAATAAAAATTAAGTCTCTTTATTTGGAACGTATTTAGAAGCTTTCAACTTATATATTTTTGATTTTTGACATTATATCGGCAACGTATTCTGTCTATAATGTCATAATGTCATTGAATTGCATTGGCAAAGCATCAAGGTATAAATAAAGTGGGTGACAGGGTGACTTCGAAGTTGAGTCATTTATTTTAACAGTGAGTAGATCTGATCAAAAGAAATGTTTTTTTCCTTTACCATTTTTCTGGTAAAATTAAAGTAACAAAGTTATAGCCCTTTGGAAGTTTGAGTACCGCCCTGTCTCAATAATAATATCATGTACTCGTGTTTGGCAACAACGGATATAATCCACCTTATCGGTTCATCGCATGGGAAACAAAAAAGCGAAAGAATTTGGAACGATGTTTTTATTTCATTCAGTTCAGTTATACATACAGTCAGTGTCAGTCGCGTGTGAATAGTGTCTGTTGCGTGGCTCAAACGAAATAAAAAATGGCACATGTTTATGCGGATCGGTTTCCCAATCGAGTGCAACCAACCCCTCGTGCCTTTGTTAATGTAGTACAACGGGCTCGTGAATCAGGTGACTTAAGACCTCACAGGGCACCTCACGATCAAATACAGGTCCGCACTGAAATACTTGTTGGGAGGATTCTTTATAAAACAAGGTTTTTTTATTTTTTTTTTATTTTTACACACATATTTTGGTTTATCTTCCTTCTACAATCATTATCTGAAAATTAATGACTCAACTTCAAAGTCACCCTGTATATAATACTAAATTTATCATGTAAAATCGATAACACAGAGTTCGATAAATATTCCAAATATTAAAAAGAAGACGCTCTAATAAAATGCATTTCATACCGACGAGCGGAATATTTGTCACCGAGTGACGTCATGGATAAAGGGGTACGAAATTCGATTGCAAAGTCTTCATATCCTTTCGAGCTATAGTATCATGGAGTATGTACCGTCACGCGACTGAATGCGCGTGTATAAATGCGGGCTAACCTGATTTTTCCTGTGAAGCTCAACAGCATGTAATGTACCTAACCCAAGGGATCAGTATTATACAACAACAGAAACAAGCTTTCAAGTCATATGGCACTCAACTCAAATTAATAACCCCCAAAAATACATACATTGAAGATAAAATCCCGACTACACCTTTTAATCTTTTCTAATAGGTTCGGTGGTGAAGTACAGCGGTCGGTTCCCCGGCGTATCAAAATGAAGATATCGAATTTGTCCTGAGCTCAAAGCCGACGCAGGATCAAAGGAACGCCCGATTCACTAATATTAATCACCGGCCGGATTAGAAATATCGAAGCGATTACGTAAATGAAGATTGAAGTTCCTTCTTTGATAATGGCATGGGACTCATTGAGATTACACGCGGTGTATACTGCGGTGGAGAAGTAAATTTAATTGTGAATATTTGTCATCGGATGTATAGGCGTTAATTTAAACAAATTGGTCGGGTGTATATCGGTGGAGAAACAGGAATGCTGTCCTGGGTTAGTGGCCTTACAATCAGATCATTCGACATCTTCCCATACAGCAGTTAATTGGGGGAAGAATACTTTATAATTCTGCTATATAGGGTATTTCGCATAAGAATCAGAGCAGGGGCATGTAGCGGAATCCAAAATATTGTGATTTACCGCAACCAATAAATGTACCTCTGATAAATAAGGCCGTAAGAGATTGGTTTCAAATTTCGTAAAAAATTAAAATTTCAGTTATTCTTGATCTTGGTACATGTTTTGAGTGTATCAAAGACCATTAATCGAGAGTAAAGCTCAACAGAAGCATTTTGAAGCTTTAAAAGGGACGATGGATCCTTAAAATGTGACTGAACGTTTTTACACATTGGCAGATCCGGAAAGTTACTTTATTTTATGCAGGACTCGGCTCTGAAACATTGGTCCCCTAGATTTTTTCAAAAATCTCCATTTTCAATAAAAACTCGAATAACTAAAGTCGTTGACTACAAAATTAAACGTTACAGTTGACAATCAAGAAAGTAAAATTATCAGGTAACCAAATAAGTTTTCAATGACCGTTTGCCAACGTGGAATCAATTTTTGTGTGCCGGTATTGCAGAACTCCCTGGATTTGGAGTAAAAAAATTGGCGGACTGCATCTATTACACCATTTCGAGTTGTGAACTGTCGGTGCCTCATACAGTTATCAAGAGACAACAAAAGGTGATAATTACTGGGCGAAATGTCGGGAAAATATGGCGGGTGCGGTAACGTTTCCCAGCCGAGTTCAGAAATTTTTCCTAGGGTCACTTTTGCGGTATGAGGCTTGGCGTAATCCTACAAGAATATCACCTTCTCTCGATTGATCAAAGAAGGCTGTTTCTGAATGAGTGCTGCTTGTACTCATTGAAACTGCTCACAATACAAATTAGCAGTGATGGTTTGACCCCTTTCCAAAGACTCATAATTGGCAATTCCAGATGATGTCCACCAACCCACACAACAAAACCTTGTTTGGGTGCAAGGAAGCTTTGGGCATGTATAGTACCGAATCAGTAGTCGACAACCAATAATACGCACGCTTAGAATTCGAATACAAGATCCATTTTTCGTCGCAGGTTAATAACCGATTAAGAAATGGTTCATTAGCGTTGCGTGAAATGTTTTCTGAGCGAATGGTAAGACGACTTGATTTGTTATCATTTGTCAGTTCATGTGGAACCCATTTGCTTAACTTCCACGTCTTTCCTAGCTGATGAAGATGCAAACCAATAGTTTCAGGACTCATTCTCAACATTTCTGCAAGTTCTTGGCACGTTGTCCTGGAATTTGCGTCCACAACCTGTCGAAGATTCTCGTTGTTCATGACTTTTGCTCTCCCTGAGCGTGGTTCATCGCTCAAACTGAGATCTCCCGAAGAAAATTTTTTGAACCACTTCTGTGCTGTTCGATCACTAACGGCATCATCTCCGAATGTGGTTTTTTTTTTATTGGTCGCCACTTTCAATTATTAAAACTAGGTATGTAACAATTTTCAGCAACTTTTTATGTGCGTGAAAAAAAAAGGATCAATACTAAAGTGACAACAGGTAACAAATAATCGCTATCAATCAACAGCATCCATGGCAATGTGCGATATACAGCAACCGCACGAACTTATTTGGTTACCTGATACATTTCCTATGGAGGGATGAATTTATGCTTGGCAGAAAACGGTGATAATTTTGAAAAATTTCTGTAACTTAGTTGGGCAAACAATTGTGTTATATCTATTGTTTACCTTGCTTGTTTTTCTATGAAATTACTGTTCTGTTTACTTTATTGTCAAGTCGTAGCCAGTGTTTGAATTCTCGATAATACAGTTGCGATGCGTATGCTTCAAGTTATTTGGATGTTTTTTTGGAAACGATAAGGTTTTTTGAAAAATTACAGGAGTAAAAAAGTTTTAGAAACAGATTAGACATAAAATAAAGTAAGAACGTCCCAAGAACGCAACGTGTTAAAAAATTCAGTAATATTTTTTGGCTGCATCATCCCTTTTAAACCCTTAAAAATGCTCCAACTGAATGTTGATGTTCTTTGATATACTCAAAACTTGTACCAAATTTGCTTTTTCTAAGTTCAAGATCAACTGAGATGTTGATTTCTTCAAAGGTTGTACCCCACTTTTTCGGCCTATAACTTCTAAGGGGTGTAATTTAG